GACAGCAACTATGAGTTTGAATCCATTACTACAAATGTATTTCTCCCTTGGGAATGGGTTGCGTTGTTACTATCCGGCATTATGATAGGTGTATGATATGTCCTACCCCTATCCTATAAAAAGGTTCGACGCATTAAAGGATTGTAGCAGTTGTTCTAGATTTTTCCAGAATAAAAACTGAAAAATTAAACCATAATTTATAATGGAAATAATTTCCCTCCGGGTCTGGGTAAGAGAATATATGATTAGTTGTTGATGAAAAATCGTGCCAAATTGCTAATAGCAAATTCGATTTTCACTTGTTTGAAGGTATGAATTAGATGAACTGGAGTAAGAAAAACAACAAAGCAGACATTAAATAATACTTCTATATATGTATATTTTATCAATAATACATACTTTTATATTGATTTCAATTTCATGTCGTATTTGATTTATTTGTGAAACATGTTTCGTTTTTTAATTGAAAATTGGCACGAACTAGCTTTGTCAAAGTCCCGGAAAGAGGAATTTTGAGAAAAATCATGAATATACAATCATATGAAAATCATGATTATACATAGACTATGTGATTAATAATCATTTCGATTGGGATCTAGATTTTCAACATTCATCTCCATGTTCACAAAACATAATATGTGAGTTTGTTCAGTGTATCACTGCCACAAATATTTCACAGTTAGTTTTCACGTCTGGTAGTAAGTGGTAGTGGTAGGTTAAGATGGAGGTCCATTAAAGTTGTCTCAAATTATTCTTGTAAATACACATGTATATACACCGGATACCCGTTCAAATTTCATTTACCAAATTTTGCACGTAGTCTCAATGATATGACTGCTAAATATATAGTTTACAGAGCCTGTGTGTGGTACAACACGTACTATTCAAATTCAACATTTGGAAAGAAAGATCCACGATTCTTGGTAAAATAATAATATGTGTTTATTTTCGTTGAACAGGCCACATCATGAAGAGTTTGCCGACGATCGTGTGATTTCTCCCAAGGTCAGCTCCCCCAGCACAAATCTGTCTGCCATGTTTCTGTCACAACATCCCGATTTATCCGATGTTGACGACGATGACGATGTCAATGAAGGTACGAATTATCGTGTTTCTTTATATTTTAGCAATAATATTCATTAACAATTAATGACATTTGTAGTTTGTAACAAACTGATGAATTATGATCGTCATTTTCTGTGTATTTTGACCAATTAAAAATGGCAGTGTAGGCGTTTCCATGGTATCCTTTTCTATTTGCCAAAATTTGACCGCGACAGAATACAGTCAGATAACATATGGAATGGTTCCTTCGTCTGTCCGTCCGTCATATTTTCCCCAGTGTTTTTTTTTTCTTTTAAAATTGGCACATTGTGGATACTTGATGATACACATGAGCCCCCAAAATTATCTCAGAAGTTCATGGATCGATTTTCCTCAAACTTTGTACATGGTTGATACATATTCCCCAGATTGATTTTTTCTGTTGATATACAAAATAACCGACTAGCGGCCATATTTAACCCCAAAATAGTCTGAAAACCTACATTTTATATGTGTAGAGCATTATCTCCAAATTGTTCTGGCCAATTCTGTTCAAACTTAGAATATGGGTAACACCTGTTGGCATACTGAGGCACATCTATTATTTGTTTTAATTTTGTTTTCGAAATTGGCCGACTAGCGTCCATTTTGTTTGTCAAAAATACTTATTTTTTTGGTAATTTTTTATTATAGCTTGAGAATACAATCACAACATTTATTCACATTTGATACAGCGGCAGTATATAATTTCACAAAGATGCAAGTTGATTTTTGTTCAATTACGTCCAAACTTAATTCGCAGATGATTGTGTTCTAGCACATAAAAGAAAGTTGATTATTAAGTCCAAGATGGTTGACTGGCAGCCATAGACCATATCACAATTCCTAATCATTGTGTATTGTGGGATAGTTATGACCGAATATTCACAACCCACGTCATTCACGAAGTGTACATGCTCCCGCAATCTGGCATCACTGTCCCACAATGCACTATAATTTGAAATTGCGAATTATGTTTTACATTTTGCCAACATAGACGTTAGTGCCACAGGTAAATTTTCTAGCAGTCCAAGGCATTAGTTCAGTGTAGAGTTTGTACATACAATCGACCAAAAAGGAGCACATAAATGTTGATATTTCATTTGTCAGAAGAACAGAGGGGCCGTCACAGTCTCTATTGCTTGTTAATATACGTTTTGATCAGAGTCTAGCAAACCTCTGAAAGTAACCAAAGGTTTTCTCTTTAATGTGACCATAACAAGTAACAAAATTCATAGGGAATGCAGAGAAACGTTTATATTTCACACTAGTACAATTACTCAAAATTACAAGCAAGATTTCCTAATTAGAAGCCACTTTAGAACAACGCCATGTAAGTTTAATTAAGCAAAGTTTTAAAAATAACGAAGTTGAGCGCAATACAATCACGCTTAGAATTCACTTTTGGCAAGGAACTAGTGGCGTAAACGTTCGTCGGTTGAATTGTTTTGCAATTTACTCTATATTTATGTATTGTTTCTAAGCTTTTTCGTGCATTTTGTGTGTGAAGAAATTACTTAAATTATAACCTGAATAGGAGCTTTGTTCATTTAACGACAGGATATCGATAACTGAAGTAGAAACATAATGTAAAGCCAAATTGTCTGTGCTCATTTGTCGGTGTATGTGCCGGCCGCATATTACATCCCATCAATTTAATCTAAAATCAAATGAGCTTATTACGTGCAGAGAACATGAAACCCGTCCACGCGATCCGCGCCACACAGCGTGGCCAGAATGTGGCAAAGGCCTTCAGATCTGGCTGTAGTAGGATGGTGAAAGTAATGCTGTAGCATTGTAACAGTGAATAAGTACTGAGAAATAATTTTAAACTCATAGTTGCTTT